ATGCGAAATGCCGAGTTCCTAGCTGATTCTTTGTGTAGATGCCTGGGGCTATGCGTAATCGCTTCTTGTACGCTTTGCGCAACTTGTGCCGTTATCGAAGGTCTCCCAGAAAGGTCTTTATTTTTAGCATTACCAGTTCGTCTGAATTTGTTTACCAAGGTTTTAAAGCTGCTTTGATAAGGGCTTGTTTTCTGAATTTGCGGCCGAAGTTCTCCTGCACCTGTTGATATGTTAATACACACGTACAGGCACAAACAATGGCTATTCTTTTTTCTGTTGACAGCATTCTTTGAGATCACCACCAAAGAAATTGCAATTAGAACATATTTCTCAAAAAGGTATAGAGACATTATAAACACCCTGTATAATGGCGTTGATTGTTTGAATAATAAAACAGTACAAAGTTTTTAATCCGGACTCATCGGGACTTCAGCGATTCCGGATTAGGGCTTTTTCTGGATTATAGATCATCAATTTAAAGTTGGTAAGATGGCATGCAGAAATTATAAAATTAAAATTATGAAATAAAGAGCAATTATGATCTAAAAGTATCAAAATTTACAAAAAAAAAAAAAAAAAAAAAAAAAAAAAGCTTAATATTTATTTGTTTACTTTATTAAACATTTCTTTCAATGTAAGAAAGAATGTAATGTGTTTAAGATGCTTCCACAAAAAATTCAAGTTCTTTTTTCTTGTGTCATCCAATGCTATACTCCTCACATAATTTTGAGACAGATATGCCTTTCCATTTTTTGCAGCAATTCCACTTTTTGTTTGATGGACATTGAAACATGCTTTCGCTTTGTAGATCCTTTGGCAGCTCCTGAATCGGAAACTCTTTTTGACATAATCAAAAGTTCAAGTTTACTTTTTATAAAATTGCTCTAACAGTCTGCAAAAAATAATAAGCCGGATCCAATTAGAAGATTAAAGAACAACACAATCTGCAACATTAACTGAAATAGATAGTTAGGTAATTTTAGCCTAGCTTATACCGTCCGTTATATATTAAATGCGCATGCGCAGAAAGCTTTGAAGTCCAGATTATAGATCATTTTGGATTATGGACGTCCGGATTAAAGACTTTGTACTGTATAATGGTCTATGTGGTGAGGAAACTGATAGCTGTTTTCAGTGTGATTGGTTATCAAAGAATATGTATTGTTTCTTAATTGTTATTAAATCATTGATCAAACTAAGTTTAGCTAAGAACCAACTTTTTTTTTAAATATTGTAAGTATAACTACATCTTAATTATTATTACAGTTTTTAATTTAAACTATAATTTGTAGTTGATAAGATGAGCTACTTAAAAAAAGGAAAACTGATGTGGGATGCCAATTTTTAATGATAATTGGACATTTAAATATTTAATTGCAAATATGGACGATTAAGCTGTTTGGTGTGTAATGAATTTATTTCCATTTCTGAAGAATATAATCTAAAAAGGCATTTTCCCACAAAAAACATTTCATTAACTGTAATATAACTTACAGTTAATGAAAACTGTAAACTTTTTCCAGTGGAATAAATGAAAACCAAAGCAAAAAAAATTAGCATTATGAAAGAACAAAATATTTTGAAAATATTTATCAGGCCTGAATAGAATTTTTACAAAAACTAGTCACATTTTCACACATTTCACCTTTAACAGGAAAGGTGAAAGTTTAACAATTTCAATTCAATAATTTAAACAAATATTAATCATATTTATAATTTGATTTTATATTAAAATTTATGTTTGAAAAGTTTTTGGATAATATAGGACAACATTTAAAAAATTTTAAAATTTTAATAAATGATAAATAGTAATATCAACATTCCTTTGATGTTAATTCCCTATCTAATACTTGAGTAATGTTTAAATATGATTATTGATCTGTTAATTTTTATTTTAATATTATTGTAATATTAAATATATGTTTCAGTTTATATTTTTATTTTGTGATAAGTTATATCTTTTAGGAGTTTTAATTATGTTTAAAATACATAATAGAAAATAAAACTAACATTTTGAATGCTTTAAATATGAAACACCAAACTCAAATTAAGCAGTTTGTTTTAAGCATTATGTAAAGGGATTTTGATTCTTCATACTTTAACCTTACTATTTACAGTTATCAAATAGAGTTACATTCTAAAGCAGGGGTGGGCATACTTCTTCCAGGGTATGGGCTACTTCTCGTTTTTTCAAGGTGTTCTGGTCCACCCAGTGGCATAAATGTGGTGAGCTAAAAATAAGGTTTACAATATTTATTATAACTTAATAATAAATACGGAATATGTGCTTACCTAGCTAACCCTACCTAAAAAAAAGCATTTAAAGCAAAATGCAAGATACAAATGTAGATAATAGCCACAAGTATAATAATTTCAAGTAATGCATTTCTTATCAACAATTCAAAATACATTAAAAATAAATCATTTTCATCTAAAGTTAGTTCTCGTAGTTAGTAATATTAAATATATGTTTCAGTCTTAGTCTGCATACTGTCCACCAATCTTGAATAGCTCGGTATATAATTACTAACTGCTAATCTTGCACTGCATTCTAAGCGGTCATCTGTGAGACAGGAACGATACACTGTCTTGATTTTGCTCCATCCACTTTTCCCTGTCCTTGTTGTCTTAATTATTTTCATTGCTGAAAATGGAGATTCACACAGGTAGGTAAAGCCAAACAATGATGTTAAATGAAATGCAACTTTTTTAAAATCAGGATACTTTACTTTGTCCATTAGATTCCAAAAGTTGTTCTTAGGTTCTGAACTACGTGCTTTTAAACTTATGTCATTTTGAAGAAGAAAAAGTTTGTCTTCCTCAAGAGGTAATGACAATATATAATTTATATTTTCAGATTTTTCATCCACATCAACATTTAAAGTTCATTCTTCATCAACTATGAAGATATTAGCTTTAACTTGTTTTTGAAAGTTTTAACAAATAACGATCATTTCTACTATTGTTTGATTTTTCCTTGCAATTGTAAGTTCAATTCATTAAGATGGCCTGTTATAGCAACAACAAATCCACCAACTAAACATTATCACTAAGTTCAACATATGTTTTATCATTTGATTCCAAAAAATCTTTTACCTGTTATAATAAGTCCCTGAATCTTTGTAAAAATATACTCCGACTTAACCAAGGAACATCTGCATCAGGTAACTATTCCCTGTAATCAGATTTGTTTTCTTTTAGTTGGGCCCGAAAAATTCTTCTCTGAAGACTTTTCTCCAATTGAGCTCACAATTTTTTTGCAGATTCCCATAACATGACACATATTTAGAATTTTACAACAGAGCATATGTGATAAGAGAGGAAATGCGGTACATCATCATCTTTGATACACGTAGCCAAAAATCCATTGACTGTGCCGGTCATTGATGGAGTCCCCATCTGTTGTTATCAATATAACTTTATAAATTGGAATATTTTCTCCTTTATGTATTTTTGAAGCACAGTAAACAGCTTCAACTCGTGTTTTCTTCTTAGATGTAATATTGTTAATAATTCTTCTGTTACACTCATATCCTTAAAAATCATTCTTATAAAAATGCAACTGCAAGGAAAAGCTAATACAGTTAGTAATATCTTTGGTCAGCTGATCAGCCAGATCAGAATTCATTTCTGTATGGTGCATGACAGTTCTATGCGAAAGTTGTATGTCTTTAATTGTGAAAATAATTTCATTTTTGTTCTTGAGTGAATCAAATAATGAATTTCTGTCTTCCAGAAAGGCTTTTTGTCATTTCTCTCTTCAAAGGTTTCTTATGTTTGCTAACACATAACGCACACGAAAAGATACAACTGTTGCAGTCTTATATATATAGTATTTGGTTTAGTAAAATTTGATTCTTGTCTGATTCATTGCGATTTAAATTCTTTTAACTTTTTTATGCAATTCTTTTTTAATGGAAAATATGTATCAAAACTTCCATGCATGCTTTTGAAATGTGTTTCAACGTTTCCTTTTTTTAGAAGTGCCATACTTGCATGACATACCGTATTTGACGGCATATAAGACGCACTTTTATTCCTAAATTTGGTCTCAAAAAAGTTACCTGCATCTTATACGTGAAGGACACAGGTTAACTTTCAATACTGAATGCTATTTTTAGCCCGGATAAAGGTCTAGACACACATAACTTTCTACATCTACATGTGTGTGGCCTTCTAAATAAGGGTGTGTCTTATATGCCGTCAAATACGGTATATAGCATACGCATTTTGAATTCACCATTGTAAAGAAAACTCTCCTTCTCATTCTGTTTTAAGATTGTATGTCTTTCTTTTCTTAACACTTATTTTCGACTTTGTACCCCTCTCACAGATTACTGTTTTTACTACAAAAACACAAGTAACACAAAATTGTCAAATTGAATGTTTGAAGAACTTTAATGGCTGCTAGACCATAGAGCATGGACATATTTAATGCAGTGAGCAGCGAACATACATGAACTGCTGACTCTAAACCGACGTATGTACTTAAGCATCATTGTGCGTTTCCAATGAGGTACATGTGTCGTTTACACATTTATTGAATCATGTGCTTAAGAAAGCACAGTTGCATCAACTGTGAAAAGCCAATTCTCCAGTCTAGCTGGCATCGGTGTTCTGTAGATATGTTCCTTTTAGTATGTGCGTCTTAGGTTTTAGACAGGCGGTCACCCCAAAATATCTTCATGGTCCACCAGTCAATCGCGATCGACTTAACGCCCATGCCTGGTGTAAAGGATAATTATATTTTTTTACAAAAGAATATTTAAATGTACTAATGTGCTATGCAAAACATATAATGCTGCTTAGATGAATATCTGAAATTAAAAAATTAATTAATAATTGCTTTGGCATTAAAAGCTTTCAGGATATTTATAATTTGTTGTAATTTCTATAGTAAACAGTATTACTGACTTATGAATGTAGCTAAACACTAATTATTAAAGGAATTATATATGGCTTATGTAATTATTATAAAATATAATTTTTAAACATTTTAGCTGGATGTTGAAGCTTCATTTGTGACAAGTAAGGATATCCAAGCTTTGATTGAACAACTTTTGAAATTTAGTTGGCCTGCTGAAAAGGGTAATATAAAGATACCTTTTCCTTGTATGACATATGCAGATGCCTTATCCTTATATGGTACTGATAAACCAGATCTACGGTATGAAATGAAGGTAAATTTTATAAACAGAGAAAATATGTGTATTGTGATCATAACTGATTATCATATGATTATTTTGATATTATTTTGTAAGTATTATTATAATCATAAAAGATAACTAAACAATCACCAAATTTTATAGTGTTAAAGTATTTTGTTTTTGTTGTTTTATATTGGTATACGGTTGATCTTTACATGATGGTAACTTGGCGTTTTTTTGGCGAAAATTTGGCGACCAACTCTCCTACAGCAACCCTCTATTTTTTTTTCCCGACGCCATTTTGTCTTCACGAAGTAAAGACATGTTTCTTTTCTTTTTATCTACTGAACACTTCTTCCAACAATCTACTAGCCGAATTACACTTATGCTAGAAATTTTATCTAACAAAACTGCTTAATCATGACAAATATTCACTGCAAAATTGGGAAAAAGTGCACAATACCATACTCCTTACGCGTTTTTTCAAAATAACACATACACATAAACCATGTACACACGCCGACTTATTTTTACTTAAAAAAACATCCCAGAATTTCACAAAAATGGCATTGTGCACACTCTTCACTATATCCATGTACACTGCTTTTTACTCATAAATTAGAAAAATTTCACAAAAATACATGACAATTTCTGAATCTTTAAACCCGGTAAAAAGAACATATATGAAATTACCTGATCGCGAAAAAGTATTTACCCTTTCCAAATATGAACATTTCCACATATAAAATAAATAAAATATCCAAAAACTTTTACCTCTAAATCATCTATTACATTATACACGTCACCAACGAATTCATACCGCAACCATTACAAATACTTAGTGTCAGATATTTAAATTATTTCCATGCACGTTTACTTCAACTAAAACGTATACCAAATTCCTACAAACATAAAATTCACAAAATAACTATCATTTAATTAAAATATCACTAAACCATGTACACGTCGACTTATTTTTACTTAAAAAAACATCCCAGAATTGCACAAAAATGGCATTGCGCACACTCTTCACTATATCCATGTACACTGCTTTTTTCTCATAAATTAGAAAAATTTCACGAAAATGCATGACAATTTTCTGAATCTTTAAACCCGGAAAAAAGAACATATATGAAATTACCTGATCGCGAAAAAGTATATACCCTTTCCAAATATGAACATTTCCACATATAAAATAAATAAAATATCCAAAAACTTTTACCTTTAATATCTATTACATTATTACACGTCACCAACGAATTCATACCGCAAACCATTACAAATACTTAGTGTCAATATTTAAATTATTTCCATGCACGTTTACTTCAACTAAAACGTATACCAAATTCCTACAAACATAAATTCACAAAATAACTATCATTTAATTCAAAATAATTAAATTCAAAACACTACTTAAAATATAAATGAGCACATACATTAAATTAATACATACATAAATACCCATTTCGAATTCACTTTAGTTACGGCCATGGGATCCAAAAATTCACGAACACTGTTTCACACAACACAGAATAAAGCCAAATACAAAATTTCCAGATTTTTTCCCAATTTCCCCCCCTTTTCCGATTAAAGAACCGTAATTCGTCCATTAATATCACATGACATATCCCATGATCTCTCATTTCCCTCACACAAAATAATGCGTAATCGGAACTGAGTACTGCTCACATTGTTACCAAAGTCCCAGGTAGTAACCTTTATCGCCTCCAAAATGTCGCCAAACTACAAGTTACCATATTGTAAAGATCAACCTGGTATACAAAATAATTTTGCGGTATGCTTTTTAATTAGTTGAGAAGTAAAAATGAATGAAAATCACATATTAGTATAGATATTAAATAAATCTCGTATTATGTCCTTAGGTATTTCTGATCTCCTCCCTTCACTGTAATATATAACTGATTTTATTCCTGCTTTTTAAATCTATGAATGTGTTCCATATTTCTTCTCTTGTATCTTAATTTCTTATATTCTTTTCATGGATCTAATTTTTCTATATTAGTTCTAAAGATGTAAGGCTATTAGATTTTTTAGCACCCAGAATTTTCTTTATATACCTAAAAATGTATAGAGAGAAATAGTTTTTGGTTTTTATTATAACTATTTTTATATTGTAAAAAATTTAATCTGTGCTTTTTCTATTATATGTATCTTTAACAAAAAATTTATTTCTGGTAATTTTTGTATTATCTCATTGATTGTAAAAACTGACTACCATCAAACCATAAAAGTTGGTAGAAATTCCACCTAAGTTGTCAGAAATCTAAAGGAACTAATGCCTCTTTATTTAATAAACAATCAAATTTCAAAGCACTTCGTTTTCTGTGCTCTGTAAAAAGCCTTTTGATGGTTCCTACTATTTTGTTAGGCCATCTGATTTTTCTAAATGTTTTGTTAGAACAGGTAACTGTTATATTGTCGGTTTGTTGGCTATATTCAACTGATTGTGTACATTGATACACACTTTTTTGAAGATGGAATCCCAAAACTTTGAAAATAATCTGCAGTTTGTTATTCTGTAGGAGGCAGGTCCCAAATTTTAATCATTTATTAAATGCAAGGAAAAAATACCGCAATAACAGTTATTTATATCTTTGTACATAAAAACTAAAGGTGAAAAATTGAGAAACAGTTTTGGGTTACATCAAATGGAAGTGCAGATGTTAAGAATGTGTTGCTAAATCACACTTACCTATGACTGTGTTAAACCAGACTGCTTGACTACAGTTTTGCAACTGATGGGAAAATATGCAAGTAACTTATTTATGTAGTTTTCAAATTCTCTTGGCTTAGGTAAATTCATGACTTAAATATATTTTTAAATATGTAAGATGTTAATAAAATTGCTATTATTACTAATTTCTCCTGCCATCATTAAGATTTCATATATGTATCATTTAAATTTATTTTGTTTGCATATAAATTTAAAATTTATGTTCATTTTCAAAAGCAGTATTTTCAGCATTGTATAGTGTTTTATGCTTTAGAATAGGAAATTTAGCTTTTTATTCTTATTTTAAAACAGCAATTTGAAGTTAAAGAAAATTTTAAAGATATTTTCAGTAATTTGCAAATTATTTGATTTTCTTTATGTTGTCTCACATTTTTAGGACTGAAATACTTTTTGACTAATTTTTATTACATATATAATAATTCTTAACATTAAAGAAAAGACTTAAATTTTGGCAATCTACAAGGGATGTTTTTTAAGTAAGGGCTGTTTGAAAATAAAAACGAAATGAAAGAAAATTTTTGAAAACCAAACTTATTTTCTGATTCTACATACATTTTCTCTATTTTCAGCATAGATGCCAAATTTTGTGTAAACGCTTATTATACTTTAGAGCTAAATTGTGAATACCCTCTTCATAGAAACCTGCCTCTTGCTCTGATAACCAAGAGGTCACTGCCCCAATTATCACATATTCATCATCATTGTAATGGTTGCCGCCAAGATGATGTTTGAGACAGCAGAAAGGATGAAAAATTGCTCGCCGCAAGTTTTGGGCTGTAGGGGTGGTTGTCCAAAACATCACAGCCAAAAGAATCCAATAAAGCTTGGGTCTGAGCTGTGGTGTAAAGCCTGGCATTGTCATGGAGTAGCAAAATTCCCTTTGTCAGCATGCCATGTCTTTTGCCTTGAATAGTTCTGCATAGCTTTCGCAGGGTTTGGCCATAGGCTACGGAATTAATAGTATTTCTGCATTGTATGAAGTCAATCAACAAAACACCATGCCTTTCCCAAAACATGGGCACCATGATCTTGCGCCAGGACAAAGTCTGGCTTTGACCCTTACAGAAGAGTGTGTGTATCTCCACTCCATGCTCTGTTGCTTCCATTCAGGCATGACATGTGAGACCCATATTTTGGCTTCCATTATGATCCAATTCATCAGGGCATCACCTTCATTATAACGAGTAAAAAAATTCAGCAAACATTTAAATCTTTTGTTTTTGTGGTCCTCTGGTAGGAGTTTAGGGATCTAGCGGGAGCACAGTTTTTTAAACCTTAACTTTCCAGAAACAATTTTATACAGCACTGACTTAGACACTTCAGGAAATTCATTTGAAAGAGTGCTTATGGTGAAGTGAATTTTCTCTTCAACTGAAGCCACCATATTGTCTGTGATCACAGATGGACGGTTGGAGCAAGACTCATCATGGATGTGGTCGTGGCCAGCTTTGAAGTCTCTGACCCACTTAGCGTTTTGCCTTCACTCATGGCAGTAGTTCTGTAAACTTCACAAATCTGCTGGTGAATGTCTGCAGCAGACCGGTTTCATGCTGACAAAAAAACATATCACTGATCGTACCTCCCACGGAAGTGATTCGATAATCTTGAACATTTTAAGGATGCAGAACAGACCAAACAAATTACCTACACAGCTGCAACCAAGCACAGTTGTTTCCAAGGAATGCTGGAACACGACGCAAGCACTCATTGTGGCATTGTTTACACCTATTAGTGTATACAATAAAACAACCCTTACTTTAAAAACACGCTGTTTATCTTTTTACTGAGTTAATATACTATTTTATTTTCTATATTTCTGTTCTTTCTCAGCACAGAGCAATGCTTGTCATATATATTAAAATCTAGTAAAGTCATTAATAATATATAAATGTCTCAAATGTATAAAACTGAAATTTAATTCATATTCTCTAACATCTTACTGACAAATGACAGCAAATTTAACACTGCTTTCTTTTGCTGATTATGTCAAATGTTCATTAAATGAATGTCTTTCCTTGATGTAAGTAAACCTTTTGATAAGATGTTAATTATTATTCAGAATTATTCTAAAAAATTATATATAGAATTAACTTAAAATTAGGTGAAAAAGCAACTTTGGCATAGATTTTGAATAAAATACGATCAGTTTCAAGGATAATGAGACAGAGTTACTCTTTTTCTTTAAGGGGTGATGCCTAGTTTAAAATTTTGTGTTGCCATGTTTATCTTTGATTTGAAGCTACTCTTTCTTTATAAACTATGTAAACAATGATTAAATTTAAGTTCATTAAGTAAAGAATCAAGTGGGAATAAACAATAGTTTTCACAAGTGTTAAAAAATGGGTAATATAAACTTGGAACTAAAAAGTTATTCGGAAGATTAGCAGTAAAATAAAATTGCAATCAAAATTTACAGCTCTCTGAATAGGGATGGGAGGAAACTTGTCATCAAACAAGTTATCAAGAAATTCACATGTCATCAAACAAATTAAATTATATAGCATTTCCATCTGTTATTTTTTGTAGTAATAAAAGACCTATAGGATAATCTTTGGTTGAAGAGTAGCAAGTGTGCTTCAGTTTATCAGCTCTAACTTCAGGCCTTCTATAATTCATATTCGGTTTTCATTAATGAAAAGAAAGGTCAGATGATGAATTATTAATTTTCATTCATAATATATATATATGTGTGTATTTATCTGCATATTTAATATTTAAATTTATTTGTGTTTAAAACTCTCTGCCTTATCCATGTAAATAAATGCTGTTTTCAAATTAATGGGTTTTCTAAATTTAAAATATAATTCTAACTTTAATGCATGTGTTAAGGTATCACATTAGTAAATTTTGGTTAGAATTAACAATTTTATATTTAAATTAATCCAAAAATGCCATTAGAAGGAATTTTAGTGACTGTGTTTGTATAATTTCCTTATTTTATTCCAAATTTTAAGGTTCTTCAAAACTGTGTAACAATAAGTAAATCAGAAAATAATTATTAAATATTTTTATCAAAAAATATTTTTTTTCAGTGCTCGTGTATAATCCCTTGACTATGAAACTGTGTTTATAATTGAAATATAGTTTTATGACTTAAAAAAACAAGCCCTGGTGGAAATTTGCCTAAAATTTTTTCTTTAATAATAATAATATGATGCATTTACTTCATTTTTTTTTTTTTCAGATCTGTTTAAAACTGTATGTATATAATTATATACTATTTCTAGTTATGTAATTTGACTAGCCATTTAAAGAATTCTGGTCTTCAGTTAGCTTCCCAAGCTAATGATGATCCTGACTACATTATTTCTTCTATTGTCGTACCTGGTGGATCAGTAAGTACCAATATAAATTTTGCTTTTAATGATAAAATAATGCTTTGATTGCATGTATTATTTAGCTTTTCTAAGTCATTTCTTTGTGAAAATGTGAAAGAAAAGTGGAAGATAACAATAGCTCCATACTCCTGAACTTTTATGCCATTTTGATATTCTGGTATTACTTTTGAACATTTCTGAAATGATTAAATATCTTAATGCTTTTTCATTGTGATTAAATTTCAGATTGATTTGGACAGAAAATTTTTATATGCCTTAAAGTAATAGACTTAATTTATATTTTTAACTTAAAATAAAAAGGTAGAAAAACCTGCAGTAAAAAAATTCAAAAAATTATGAATGAATTGAATGGAGTGTGGCAGCTGCAGGTGAGGTGATCTACAACTCGCTGCAACACTTTTGGTGTTTTAATGGAGGATTTCTCATGGCAACATCTATGGGCCGAATCAGAAGTGCAATGCAAGAGGCTGCTTGGCCTCAGAAACAGAACTTGAGTTTGTGACATGGGAGTGGAGTTCTCTACCGCTAGGGCAAAGGAGCTCTTGTGCTCTAGATTCAAGAATTCTGACTGTTTCAAATTTGCAAGTATTGAGTGGCTCCACAAATGCGGTAAGAGTAATTCAGTACTTTTAGACAAAGATAGGTCAAAAATACAAAAACAAAACAAACATCGAAATTTGTAACCGCAAATGCTACATTCATGAATTAAAAGATTTTGTTTGCAAAGAATTGCATTGGACAGTGCAGATCATTATTAAGGGCATTCATGTTGCAAGAATAATATGTATGTGTGTAATAATTCTGAAATAATACATATGAAATAGTTGATACGCTGCCCTTTACTAGTGATATGGCAGCAAATGAACATGAGTGATCTGCAATGTGATTATATTGTGAATAGTTCCTAAATAAGTGTTCCTCTGCCAAATGTTTGCACATTTTTACTACAGATTGTGTGAAACTGGATCCTTCAATATGAACAGCTGCTGTGGTCAAAAACAAATGACATATACATTTGCTATGGAAGAAGCAATCATAGGACAAACTGAAAACAATCTATATGTAAGTTCATCAGTGAATTCATATCGCTCAATTCAGCATGTGGCAAATATTACAGGAGGGGATCTAATATGATCTTCACATGTAAATTAGCCCAATCATTTAAGCAGAAGAATGGCCTTAGTGTTTGGAATTCATATGCCTGCTTTAGCAAAAATGTATCACATAGACAGATTTTCCAGCATATCTTCTTTTCATTTCTGAGGTACCTTCCCATATGAGAGTGTCATTAATGTTTATGTTGTGCATGTGCCACAGGCTACATGATGTGTAGCAGCTGTTCAGGATAAATGTCTGAGTGTGTTGAAGAGTATATATATATCAACCATACCTTTTTATGTCTTAACTAAATAGGCATAGCTGTGATATAATCCTGGAGGCATCTTCCCAGAATTACTACATGATCTTTGTTGAAATAAAATGGGCCTTTGGTAGTAAGTTAAGAAGGTGTTAAAGATAAAATATCTAAAATTCTTAAATCATCAACTAAGATAATGTTGTACCGCTAAACCCATTGATGCATATGAATATGAGACAAGAAATGTGAGACCTAGGAGAAGAAACATTTTATTAGGAACTTACCCTGAATCAGAAGCCAGATGCTGAAATAATCATCTCAAAATTTTACATGTGAATTAAACGTTTATTTTACTTCTTGATATATTATTCTTGATTATATATTTAGAAAACACAAAAAGTGTGCCAGATCTCCTGAGACATGGTCCTTTCACATTATCACATGATATGACAAAATACACATACACTGCTGTCGAGTACACTGGAACAAGATAATCTTAGAACATCCTTCAAGAGTTGTCTTAAAGGATGTATTAACTCCATTTTGTATTTATGCATCACTTTGTTAATCGTATGATTATGATTAACAAAGCGATGCATAAATACAAAATGGAGGTTTGCCTGCACAATCTTCCTGCATTTGTGTACTGGTGCATATATTTTCAGTATGATTGGAAGTGGCTATATTGCACAATGTTTCACCATAAATGTCTGAGCTGGCATTTTTGGACATTTTTGCATCATCTATATCTTCAATTTAACACAAGTAGTTATCAGAGATTTCTGCAGAATAGAGGCAGATGGCTCTCAAGTGCTTTGTCAAGTCAATAAAAATAAACCAAACCAAATCTAGAAAAGGTTCTGCTTGATCCCAGAAGCAGGCTACTGTTGCAAGATATGTGACAGACTCAGGGGCAGCTCGTGGCTAAAATTAGTGGGGGTGCTGTTCCAAACAAATTTGTTTTAAAATTGTCTAAAAGGAAACAAACATGTATAAAAAGAAAATTTATTTTGAAACTTCATTAAATCTTACAAGAAAAAAATTAAACATTAATTACTTTAACCAAAATTGTTACAGTTCAATCTTTGTCTATTTATTTAAAAATGAAATCCATTCTTTTTGTTTTAATTTGCGCGAAAAGATCAATAATTTTCTCCTTGAAGTCTGGATGACAACTGAAGAAATTTTTCTTTATTGAAAGCGAGCCCACCAGCGGCCGAGTGGTAAAGTCGCTGAACACTGGTAGTTTGGTCCGAGGTTCAAATGCCGCGAACGGGCTGGCTGCATGGGTGTTTTCGTGGTTTTCCCCATATGTAATGTGTATACGAGCCAGTTTCCTTTAGAAAGTCCTTCACGAAGGCATCCCTCCCCTTAGGCAGATAGCACTCGAGGCTTTGCCGTAATTAAATAACCTAAACCTTTATTGAAAGCAATGCAAGTGCATTTAGTCTTTCTGAATTCCTAGTGCTTCTTAGAAAAGTTTTCGTTCTTTTTAGTGTTGAAAAGCAGCGTTCTGCCTCTGATGATAGAATCTTAAGAGAAAGGTAGTCATGGAAACTCTCAAGAGAATTTTTATCAGTTTTGTAATTTCACTAAGAACATCATCTAGATTATTTTCGAAGATAAATTTCAGTAGCTCAATTAATTTGCAGTATTCATGGATATCACACCTACAATAAAATACTTTTAGTTCAGTTTCAAGTTTTTCTTTGTCGATCATTGGATATGCTTCAGTGGTCAGTACTATTTCTTCTGTAGAATGTTCATTCCTAAAACTAGTGAAGCATTTCTTGTTTAACAATTTAGCAGCTGCTAAGTGTTTAGTGGAAGTATAAAGTCACGTATTTCTTTAGCTTCTGCCATCAATGTCTTTGAAAAATTCTCACAGTACTTTGAGTTTCTTAATTCTAAAATAGCAGTTTTGAAATTTGTTATATACACACTAATTTCTCTGGATTGCAATAAGTTGTATATTATTTCAACATGAGGCATCTGATAAAAAAGCTATAACCACAAAACTTGAAATTATCATCATTTAGATATTTTAAAATTCCTGTTGCTTTTGCAATAGTTTGATCTGGTTTTGATGTTGATTGAATTTCAGTAAGGTAATTTTTTAAAGGTTGCAAATTTTCATGAACTCTGTTTGTGGTCCATATGATGAAGTTCCACTTGTAGAGGAATACCGCACGCACGGAGTAAAAATAAATCAACGTTTCCAACAAAATGCCTGAATTTCGGCACAGCAAGAGTGACAATGCTCTTCTCTCTACCCGGCTCGCTTGCTGCTTTCTGTGTGTGTGTGCAGAACAGCCAAACACCACATCACTGGAACTGTGAAGAGCGCAGTTCCAAACAAATAATTTCGTACCTTTTTCACAAAGTAGGGGATGGCTACTGACATTAAGCTTAAGGATTATGTATTATAAAAGTATAAAGAAAGAATTAAAAACTAAAATGCATACTACATTAAATATTAAAAGTCATAATAAGTGGAAATAGGGGCAGCTGCAGTTCCACAGTGCTTATTACGAGCCGCCACTGGACAGACTACTGCTGCATAATATTCCTGCATTTTCTTACCAATGCATGTGGTTTTAGCATGATTGGGTGACTGTGCATTTCAACTTGGATTTGTGGAAGTATATTTCGACAATACCTTTTCTGCATAATAGGTTAGCCAGAAAGACTAGTCATTTGGTTATTATAATCAATCAATTCATCTGCTACTGATTTCTACCTATCAGGAAATCTCAAAAGTCTTATGTATGAAAATACAATAGCTTCAGACTCTCATCTTGTCATAAGAACAGTAATCTACAAGAAGCATGGCTTTGAACATATTTTCTAATCAAAACATCAAGAATACATTGCTAATGGATTGAACTTTAACCCTCTGAGCGTTATGACCGGATTTATCCAGTCATCAGAAATTTTGCTGCTTGCATCAGAAATATTAGCTTATAATTTAAGATATTTTGCTTTCTTACTTTCTTTAATAATGTAAATATCATCTTAATGAATATAAGTTTATGAAAATGCAGACTAAAATAAGTAATTATACAAACTAAATTAATAAATGCTGTTTAAATACTGGTCCTCATGACGGATCTAAAATCCTGTGCCACTCAGAGGGTTAAGCAATTGCCATAGCTGCTAACACTCCGAGTTTTTCGGCATATCTCCCACTCTCCGAATAGATTACCAAATCTCCCAGTTTTAATTTTTTAGCATATACTAATGAAAATGTTTTTCAGAACTAAAAGTAAATTGTATTAATGAAACTTAAATTATGCCAGTTTCATTTTTCTATACCTAATGATCTTCAGCATAAATTTTCTTGTTAAATTTTCTTGTTAAATTTTATTAGATCCAAATTGTTTTAATCTACTGTATACATTTATAGAGCTTTATATTAAAATTCACCCAAATATAATTTCATTTTCACTGTGTTTAAAAGTATTTTCATAAATTAAAGCTTCCATTCCCTGCTCAGAATTTTCTTAATATAAATGTGTAAGAAATTTACAAGATGAAATAAGCCAGAGAACATAAAATTTAGAATATATAAATAAATATTAATATATTTTGCATCATAATCATGTTATAAATAGTTGAGTAAATTGAATCATGCATTATA